GAGACCCCTCTGCAAAGGGATCTCCAGTGGCCTACTAATGGGCTTTGGCACCTTTATATTCTTAATAGCATGTACACCTACATTATTTGGTAAACTATTCTTCACTTAGAGTTGCTTGATATTTCTTGATAATTACATTTAGATCATTCATTTATGGCAGGACTTCCATAGAAATGATGATGTGACATACTCAATACAATCCTTTGAGAATACAGGTGATCTCACTTAGTTCCCATAGTTGCAATTGTAAGTATCATGGCTAGTTATGGCCTGCCTGGTGTTTCCACTCTTACTTTAATTCCCTTTGTATTTAATCTGTGAATACATATTTTATATTCTTTAAATTGTGAATATTTCTGATGTCTGAAGCATTCTACCTATACCTTATTTACTGCCAGAATTATGTATTATACTAAAAGAAATTAATCCTAGCTTTCATTGTTACTTTGCTTTTTTGAAAAATTTACCATAAGTGTTAATAGCTCATGGTTTTTAGCTTTTCTTTTTATTGTGCTGTTGATTCATGAAAAGTCAAGTGGCTATTAGTTGACTTCAGAAATTAAAGTAGATTTACTTAGGTACATAGAGTAGAGCACTTATACCACCTGCCTGCTGATGTGCTCAAGCCCCATGAGTTAGAAACCTATGCTATGTGTATATTTTGATGCATATTATCATCAAATGAATGGTAATTGTGCTTTTTCCCCTCACTCACTTCTCATGAATCTCTTGGCTTTGCAAGTCCATTGAAGTATTTTTCTTGTTGAGACAACCCCTGGGTATAATTCTATTACTTCTCAGCAGACACAGCACTCACTTCACTTTCATCGAGTCAGTTCTGACTTAGGGACCATATAGGACAGGGTAGAACTGCCCCTGTAGATTTTCCAAGATTAACTCTTTCTGGGAGAAAAAGCCTCATATTTTTCCTGCAAAGCAGCCACTAGTGGTTTTGAACTGCCCTTGAGGTTGACAACCCAATGCATAACCACTATACCCTTGGGGGTCCTTTAGCAGGGACAGTCTGTATGCATAATTTATTTTCTAACAATAAAAATATTAACATCAGGTTACTAACCTTGAATGAAGACTTCCATAAACACAGTGTATCTATTCCTCATAAAAAAAGGCAGTGCCTATGATAGAGGATATTTTGTTTTCTGTGTAGATTGAGATATTCAGTCACTCTTTTATGATAAATATTATAGTGGCATTTGGAAGAGTCTGAGGGAAATAATAACAAGTCAGTAAGACCAGCATTTTGTTTTGCTTTGCTTTTTAATTGACATTGGCCAATGAGATAACTTAAGAAAATTTATTTACTCTTTAGGAGGGTACATTTAGAAGACGTGTTTTTAAGGAAAATCTTACTGAAAATAGTAGTGTGACAGATGATTTGTTTCAGGTACTGAACAGTACAGTGATTACACTGGCTATGCTGAAACATACCGCTGGGCCCGGAGCCATGAAGATGGGGGTGAGAGGTAAGTTGTAGCTTACTTCAGTTCTGCTGGGCATAGCCCTGGACTCATTACTCTTTTATCTACTATTACTTTAACTTTTAAACTTTGTTCTTAAATGTATTACAGGTTCATTACCAATTAAAACAGTATCACCCTGTCCGTGTACCAAAAAGAAGATAAAAACTGAAAACCTGTATCTGTTAGCTCATAAGTGTAGAGCTCTCTACAGTTCTTGACCTCTGTTCTGCCAGTGGGAAGCAGTGGAGGTTAACTTTCAAATGTAATTAGAATAGGTTCTAATTAGAATGATTAGGTTAGGTAGATAGGAAAAGCCTTTGCTGGAACAATTTGCCTAATGCCACAACCAGCTGTAATGTGTTTTGCTGCTGCCATTACCCTAGCTCTTATTGAAATATGTATTCATACTTATACCTCCTTACTTCTACACTGTTTGTTTACTTTATTAGAAGTACATTTTTGCAGGAATGCTGTCTGAAAACTTGTGCTTTTGTACTTTGGTGGCAGAACCAACTATTCATCATACAGTTCTTCTGTGTCACAAACTTACTTTTTGTAATGTCTTCAGTTCAACCCCTGGCTTCCTTCTCCTTTTTTTTTTTTTTTTTTGCTTATATAGTTTCAGTAAACAATTATTTACATGGATATTTGTTCCTAGTAATTATTTTTGGACTAACACAAAGGTTTCTACTGCTGTTCTTCAGTGCAAAAAAATTACTTGTAATATTAGTACATAAAGTTAATTTAAATGATGAAATATTTGGAATTACACATTCTAAAATTGTCATCTCAACCAGACCTTCTCCTTTTCAAAGCAGTGTGTTATTATTTGGTGTGTTATCTTTGTCATTAAAAAAGTTTTTTTTCAGTCAGCAATTGAACATAATACATAGGATATTGTGTAACCATTATTCATTCTTACTAATACTTCTGGAAATAATTTCCAGGACAATATGTTGCGATATTACAAACCTAATGACTTAGAACAGATCTCTCAAAGCAAATGAATGCACTGTTTCTGAGACACAAATGTTATGTCTTTAGTATCAAAGGAAAACAAAGAACTAAATTCCTTTTATTTACCCCAAAAGCCTTTAACCTCTGAGACTCACTTAAGTGGTTTATTTGTGTGCACCAGGTCCTATGATGTTGACACTTAGTAGTTTTTCATTTAATGTTTAACAATTGACAGATATGTATGCCTCTGAATCTAAAAATAAAATGGTTTTCATGCTGTTTTGCTGAGAACTGTAAACACTGATTCTTTCTTTAATACTTTTAAACATTCCATTCATTTTAATATTGCAGGATCCTCAGAAAACTAAACCCTATGAAAGTATTGTCATTGTGAATAGCTATATTAATTTTTCATCTTTTTCCTCTCTGTCCTGCTCAGGGACGACTGGCAGAGGCGCTGTACTGAAATTGTTGCCATTGATGCACTTCACTTCAGACGGTATCTTGATCAGTTTGTCCCAGAGAAAATCAGACGCGAGCTTAACAAGGCCAGTAACCTTATTTCTTAGTTCCTCTGGCAGCTGTCATCTATGTACTTCCATTTTATTAATGCTGAAATTAATGCTTTCTGGTCATTCTTACAGTGTCAGTAGGTCTACCAACAGCTCTCCTGATTTAATGACTCTGACAGTTTGTACAAGATGTACTTTCCATTTCATAATTGTTTGATTACTGACAGAGGCTGCCAGATTTACTGCTGTATGATTTTAAACCATACACGTACACTTATCTCATCAAGAACATTAGCTTGATTTTATCTCATCAAGAACATTAGCTGATTTAAAAATTTCTAGACCATATAGAAATGAATGAACCTTGAAAATATTTTAAGCCTGCCCAACATTTTTAAAAAAGATATTCTATTTTAATCAGAATAAAAAACAAATAAGTTAAAAAGTCAAACTAATATTACTTTATTTTAATTAAAATTTACAAACAAAAGAGAAATGTAAATTATTTATGGATTTGGAGATTTGACAGTTATACAATCTGTGATTTTCTGTGATATACTGGTAATATACTCATTTTCCATTTATAATTGTTTTGCAGAAATATAAAAATGACCCATTTTTTAGTTTGTATTTTTACTATTGTTAACCATAATTAATAAACTTATTATAAAATATGCTGATTTGGGGCCTTGCCAAAACATCTGAGGTATTCATCTGTTTTTTTATTTCCTAAAATACTCCCATAACCAATAAGACTGACCTAGTACTGAAAACTATTGTAGTTAACTCTTCCAAACAGGATTTGGCTATAAGATTATTTATTAAAATGATGAGGTTTAGGGTCTTGTATGGCTGCACCAAGGCTTTGATAATGGAACCTGACTGGAGTGTACTATATTAAGGGAGTTGGCAGTTTTCTCCTAAGTCTATAATAAATACATTATCTCTACATCTCCCTGGTTCTTATTACAGGAGTAACTTGGGTACAGTTCTCTGTTTATCCCAGCTCAACAGTCTTGCCTTGGGTATTGTTAAATGAAGTAAACAATCAAATAATAAAAGAAAGTTTTTAATACACTTATAATTTAGTACATATTTTAAATATAATTTATATTGTTTTATTTTTATTCCATTTGATAATCTACACATTTTTAATGTATAATTTATATATAATTTATTAGATTGTTTTCATGTTTCGAGTTCTCAAAGGAATCTCTTAAAAAGTTTAAAGAATAATATGCTATTTTCCATAGGTGAACTATATAACAGGCATTTTTTATTTTAAAAAATAAAAGTAATTTCTCAGAAAACCTATCCAGAATTGGTATTTTTTTGGTTAATCAACAGTCTTAGGTTTCTCTATCTCACCTGATTTTGAAAATCTGATCTGCTTATATAAAATAATATAGATATAATTTTTTAACAAAAAAATTATTTTGCTCTCAAGTACATTTTAAATGCAAGCCTACTTTAATTATTCTATAGCTCTTGTTTTAATGTAGTCATCTGTAAGCCCATGGTGTTATGATACAGCATATAAAGTAGACTAAGAAAATAATCTCTAAATTTTCATCTGGTATTACTTTAAAAAAAAATCAATACATAGATCACTCCATAATTCAGTCACATCAAGCAGAATTGTACAGTTGCTACCACAATCAGTTTCCAAACATTCTTTTTGTACATAGACCCCTTGACATCGTTTCCCCTTCACCACCCACTCCACCACTGAAACCCCCTCCCCCTGAAACCCTTATTCTACTTGGTTTCTCTATAGGTTCATCAATCTGGGGTTTCATATACCAAAAACTTCAAGAGGGTGACCCCTGTGATATAACACTTCTGAGATGCACCTTAATACAAACAAACAAAAAACCAAACAGAACAATTCAAACCATAGATACAGACAATTTAGGAAACCAGATGAGATCCAGCATGCATTGTAAGGCAGATCTACTGACCAAGTTTTAACTGCTATTACTTTAAAAAAATTATTGTATTGTGTTTTAGGTGAGATTTTGCACAGCAAATTAGGTTCTCATTTAACAATTTTATACAGATTGTCCTGTGACATTGGTTGCAGTTTTCACAGTGTGCCAGCATTCTCATTGTGTCCATTAATCTAGCTTCCTTTTCTCTCCTTGACTTCTTTTCTTTGCCGCAATATAAATGATGATGATTTTTAAAGAGTACAGTACTTGGGGAGGTATAGTTTATTGTGTATTATTTTGTGAGCACTTGTGTCAGTTTTTCACATGATCATTGATATTAGAAGCCATTCACTTAAGCAGGACGTAGTCTGGAGAGAAATTCAAGAAAAATAAAATAAACCCAAAACATGTTATGTAAACTTAAAGCCTGATTTTATTATTATTACTTTAATGGCTAAAGTGTATTTTCAAGCATGTATCTCTATATTCAATCTATAAAGTGTAGATTCAAGCATATATCTGTAATTCATTTGTTTTTAGAAACTAACCACTGAACAACAAGTGATCTAAAATCAACAGTGAGGAGGGTCTAGGATCCCTGGTAGGGCTTGATCAAGGGCAGTGTAACCAAGAGGAATTACTGAAATCTGAATGAAGGCCGGCAATGATAATGGGACAAGAAGAAAGTAAAAGAAATAGAGAAAAGAACAAGGAGGCAAAGGACATTTATAGAGATCTAAATACAGGCATTGTACATTTATAAATATATGTACATAGATCTATATATGTACATAGATCTATGTACATATATTTATATGTTAAGTATCAAGGTAGCAGATGGATATTGGGCCTCTACTCAAGTACTCCCTCAACACAAGAACACTTAGTTCTAATAACCTGGCATTCCGTGATGCTCACCTTCCCAACACAATCGCTGAAGACAAAATAAGTGCATAGTAAATGTGGTGAAGAAAGATGATGGTGCCTGTAGCGTCTGGAATCTTACAGGCTTGAAGAGAAACAAGCGGCCATGTAGCTGAGAAGCAGCAAAGTCCACAATGAAGAAGCACACCAGCTTGTGTGATCATAGGTGTTGATGGTATCAGGTATCAGGCACCAAATACCCAGAACAAAAAATCATATCAATATAATGAGAGAGAGTGCAGAGTGGAGACCCAAAGCCCATCTGTAGACAATTGGGCATCCCATTACGGAAGGGTCACAAGGAAGAGACGAGGCAGTCAGGGTGCAGTACAGCACTGCTGAAACATCCAACTTTCCTCTAGTTCTTAAATGCTTCCTCCCCCACCCCACCCCCACCCCACACACACTATCATTGATCCAGTTCTACTCTACAAATTTGGCTAGACCAGAGCATGTACACGGGTACAGATAAGAGCTGGAAACACAGAGAATCCAGGACAGATAAACCTCCCAGAACCAGTATTGAGAATAGTGATACCAGGAGGGGAAGGGGAAGATGGGGGAGAAAGGTGGAACTGATCACAATGATCTACTTATAGCCCCCTCCCTGGGGAACAGACAACAGAAAAGTGGGTGAAGGGTGACATTGGTCAATTTAAGACATTAAAAAATAATTTATAAATTATCAAGGGCTTGTGATCGAGGGAGGGTGAGGAGAGAGTGGGGGAAATCAGCTGATGACAAGAGCTTAAGCAGAAAGAAAATGTTTTGAAAATGATAATGGGAACAAATTACAGATTGACACAATGTCTGTATGTATATATTGTGATAAGAACTGTATGAGTCCCCGATAAAATGATTTTTTACAAAAAGAAATTAACCTCAATTACGGCCTTTTTCCAAAGTGGTCTTTGAGCATAGATAAATCTTAATTCCTTATGGACATTTGATGTTCTAGCGCACTAACCTTCAATTACCTGTCCTGAAAGACACAAGATGTTTTTTAAATATTTGAAGTCTGGATATGTGTGTGAATAGATTAGTTTTAAGTATGAGCAGTTTTGAATAAAAAGTATTTATGGAATGGCAGTTAAAGGACTTTGCACATGAAAAATGAATCTTTTAGAGGAATTACTGAAACCCAAATGAAGGCTGAACATGATAGTGGAACAAGAGGAAAGTAAAAGGAAATAGAGGAAAGAGCTAGGAGGCAAAGGGCATATATATAGAGGTCTAAATACAGGTATATATATATATATATGTAAATATATTTATATATGAGGATGTGGAAATAGATCTATGTGCATATATGTATAGGTTTAGTATTAAGGTAGCAGATGGACATTGGGCCTCCACTCAAGTATTCCCTCAATGCAAGAATACTTTGTTTTATTAAACTGGCATTCCATGACGCTCACCTTCCCAACATAATCACTGAAGACAAAGTGGGTGCATAAGCAAATGTGGTGAAGAAAGCTGTTAGTGCCCAGCTATCAAAAGATGTAGCATCTCATGGCATGGTGATTCCTGGTGGATTTTTGTCAAATACCCTTCTGTGTTAATTGATATATGATCATGCTCTTTTCCTTTTTTTGTATTTACATAATGAAGTACATTGATTGTTTTTCTTTTGTGTTTTGTAAAATAATTTTATTGGGGCTTGTACAACTCCTATCACAATCCATGCATACTTCCATTTTGTCAAGCATACTTATACATTTGTTGCCATCATCATTCTCAAAGTATTTTCTTTCTACTTGAGCCCTTGGTATCAGCTCCTCATTTGTCCCTCTCCTTCCCATACCCTCTCAGTGATTGTTTTTTTCTAATATTGAACCACCCTTGCATACCTGGTATGACTTATTTGACCATGATATACTTTTAAAAATATTTTTTTAGATTCTACTGACTTAGGTTTGGTTTAGAATTTTTGCATTTATGTTCATGGGGATATTGGTCTACAGGTTTCTATTCTGGTAATGTATTTGCCTGGTTTTAGTATCAGAATTATACTCACTTCATAAAATGAGTCCAGGTATTTGCCATCCTTGTATTCTGGAATTGCTGTGTAGAATTGGTGTCTTACTGTTTTTTAATAAATAAGATGAGACTGGGGCTGGGAGTCCTAACCATAGTTACTGATCTAGTGTCAGTAATTTAGAGAGTGAATGCTGAGAAAGCATACTAATAATTCTTTGCCTTGATGAGGAAATAGTCATCAGTATCCTTCAAAGATAGCAGCAGTGTTTTAACAAGTGCCTTTCTTATAATTTAGTGACAGTCCATGCAGTTGGTAGTTAAAACAAACCAAACTCACTGCCATTAAGTTGATTGCCACTCAGAGCGACCCATTATTGTTGTTATTGTTCGGTGCCATTAAGTTGCCCCATAGCGACCCTATGCACTCAAAAAACGAAACACTACACGGTCCCATGCTATCCTCACAGTTCCTAAGCTAGTGCCCATTGATCCAGCCATGTGTCAGTTCATTTCATTGCGGAACTTCCTCTTTTTCACTGTCCTTCCACTTCACCAAATGTGATGTCTTCTCTAGGCACTGACTTCTCCTGACAACATGTCCAGGGTAAGACAAAGTCTATAAGACAGGGTAGAACTGCCCTGTGGAGTTCTGAGACTGGTAATCCTTACGAGAGTAGAAAACCTCTTCTTTCTTCCATGGATTAACTGGTGGCTTTTTACTGCTGACCTTGTGGTTAGCAGTCCAACTATAACTCCTGGTCTTCTTTAACTATCTCTGATATTTCCATTTGCATTAGTTTGAATTGGAAAAAAAACAGCCATATGTTGGTTTAAGTTTTTGATTTGCCCAGCATCAAAACAAATAAATGTTAGAATCTATCAGTTCTTTCTTTCATCCATGGATAATGCCAAGCTTTTCTATCTATCTATCTATCTATCTATCTATCTATCTATCTATCTATCTATCTATCTATCTATCTATCTATCTATCTATCCTTCTATTTTGGACTCAATGAAAAAAAAGAATGAGAGATGACATGAGTTTACTGATGGATACTGATCGTAGAACATCAATAAGGAGCTGCTAGTGTCTGGCCACTCATGTGCTTTGATATTTTTATCCATTCAGGCTTACTGTGGATTTGTCCGTCCTGGAGTTTCTTCAGAGAATCTTTCTGCAGTGGCCACAGGAAACTGGGGCTGTGGTGCCTTTGGAGGTGATTCTAGATTAAAAGGTGAGTTGTTATAGGAAGGATAATATCATTTTTACTGGGAAAAAGTCAGTTGGGTAAGCCAAATTTTCATTGTTCTGTCATAAAAAATACCAGAAAGGAAAAGGATATTAGTCACTACCTTTTTATTTTTTTTACTGTGTACAGTGCAATAGCAGTCTAGGAGATGTGGAATGGCTTAAGTCAGGAAATAATTTATTGGTAGCAGGTGTACACACTCGGATAAACAAAGCTATTGGCCATTTACCAGATGATGACATTCGCTTTTCTGTTTAAAGTATTACAGAAAATAGTGTTGTACTCTTATTTCATGTGATTACCGAAGTACTAATTAGACAATAAAAGCAATATTAAACAGCTAACTGGTTTTAATCGTCAAACTAGATACAGAGAAGATCTCCCCTACTAATGGGCATAAGAAAAATGAGTATGTCATAAGTTAAGCCTCCACCCAAAATATTTATTATTTTTGTAAAAGTGACATTGACTTTTTTTAATTCAGAAAAACAGTATAAAACATATGAACATCATCAGAATATCCTGTTAACTTTTGGATGGATATCCTTTTGGACATCTCAGCCATTATTAGACATTAATTAAATCATACCATATATTATGTTCTCTGACTTCCTGTTTTTGAGAACCCTACAGTCTCAGGGATAGCCTTTTAAAAAAAATCATTTTATTGGCAGCTCTTACAACTCTTATCACAATCCATACATACATCCATTGTGTCAAGCACATTTGTACATATGTTGCCATCATCATTCTTGAAACATTTTCTTTCTGCTTGAGCCCTTGGTGATCAGCTCATTCCCCCACACCCTTCTTCCCTCCCTCATGAACTCTTGATGACTTATCTTTTATTTTCCATGTCTTACACTGACTGCTGTCTCCCTTCACCCACTTTTCTGTTGTCTGTCCTCCTGGGAGGGAGTTATATGTAGATCATAGTAATTGGTTCCCCTTCAGGGACAGCTTTTAAAACAAAGAAGTGTATAGCTACTGTCAACCTTTTAAAGTAACTGTATCATTTTCTAATGCAGATATACTATGATTTGGTTGGTTTCCTTTATATTGTAATCATATTACTGCAATGTGTAATTGACTATAAGTCATATATATTTATTTCTATAGGGTAAATTCCTAGAAGTAAATGAATGAACTAGGGTATGTCTTGTTTATGTTTTGATAAACCAACCATGGAGTCTATTCTAGCTCGTAACAATCTATGTGTATCAGAGGAAAACTGTTCCCCAGAGTTTTCTATTGCTGATTTTTGGAAATTGATCATCAGGTTTTTCTTCCTAAGCACCGTGGGTGGACTCACCCTACCAACACCACCCTTTCCATTAGCAATAAGCACATTAACCATTAATGCCACCCAGGTACTCCTTTATGTTCATATGCTTCCTGTAAATTGACCTTCTGAAAGCCATTATCAGTTTATCTTCTCTGGCCATTTTTATTTCATTTCAAAATTACTTTTTACCTCTCTACCCATTGATCTCTTTTCAGTGTTACTTTGATTTTTCACTGGCTAGTAACAAGTCTTGTATATTAAGAAATATTAATCATTTAACTCTCATGTGTTTATAGGTATTTGTCTATATTTTGGGGGTTGGTTGGTTTCATTTAATTGCAGCTTATTTTGTTATTGCCACACCAAATTAAGTTTTATGTGTTAAAATTTTTATGGCATGCATGCAAAAAAATCTTTCCTCTACCCTTATTCTAAAGACTTTCTACCCACATTTTCTTCAAGTTTAAAAATAAAAACTGCATAGTGCTTTGCTCTGCTTTTTGAAATGGTCTAAATATAGAATTTCTGTTTTTTGTGTTTGTTTGTTTTTTCATTTTATTTTATGAAATACCTTATCATCCTGAATTTGTTTGAGAAAACATTTTTCACTCTGGGCTTATTGATTATCTGACAGACACTTTTTCTATTTTCCTCTTAGTAATATAAATGACTAAATTCATGCCATCAATTCCAAAAACAGGTCTGTCATAAGCTCTGGTCATTTCTGCTGGGCAATTTGAGGAGCTTTTAAATGCATTGGTTACTTTTCTTTACTTTATAACATAAAAATCTCTTTCTCAAATTGGAATTTTGCTCCTAATATCAAGCATAGTATTCAGAGATTTTCATTATGTAATTTATTTTATCAACTATTCAGATTGTTTTAAACTTTGAAGTAGCTTTTTGACAACTCCCCTTCATAATGAATAATCATTAAAACTATAATATAATGCCATTTAGTGGGGAACTAGTAACTAAAAATGTTAATTTTGAAAAATAGAATATTATATAATCATTAAAAGCCATTACAGAAATATGTCTCTTGACATGGGATAATATTCTTGGAGTATTGCCATATATGTGTGTGTGTGTGTGTGTGTGTGTGTATGGCATATAAACAACTTTTAAAATTCAGCTATGGGTTTATAGTATCGCACACAGTTTTGAGGTTCTCTGGATTGTATTTACATGCAACCATGTAGTCACTCCCCGCCCCACCCCCAATACCCTCTTATCCTATATGTACATTCTTTTCTTCTTTTTTTAAAATACTTTTATTGGGGACTCTTACATCTTTTATCACAATCCATACGTTCATCCAGTGTGTCGAGCATATGCTGCCATCATCACTTTCATAGCATTCTCTGCCCACTTGAGGCCCTGATATCAGCTCCCCATTTCTTCCCCCTCACTCCCCCACCTACCCCCACCACAAACCCTTGATAAGTTATAGATTATTATTTCCATATCTTACATTGTCTGTGGTTGCCCCTGACCCACTTTTCTGTTATTTGTCCCCCTAGGAGGAGGTTGTATGTTGATCCTTGTGATCGATTCCCCCTTTCTTCCCCTCCCCTCCCCTAATCCTCCTGGTATCTCTATTCTCATTGTTGGCCCTGAGGAGTTTATCTATCCTGGATTCCCTGTGTTGTAGGCTCTTATCTATAGCAGTGTGCATGCTCTGGTCTAATCCGATTTGTAAGATAAAATTGAGGTCATGATAGTGGGGTGAAGGAAGTACCAAAGAACAAGAGGAAAGTTGTGTGTTTCATCAGTGCTATACTTCACCCTGATTGGCTCATCTCTTCCCTGTGACCCTCTGTGAGGGGATGTCCAATTGTCTACAGATGGGCATTGGGTCTCCACTCCATACCCCATCCCACCATTCACCTTGGGTATGGTTTTGTTCTGGGTCTAAGATGCCTGATACCTGATCCCATCGACACCTCATGATCACACAAGCTGGTTTGCTTCTTCCATGTGGGCTTTGTTGCTTCTCAACTAGGTGGCTGTTTGTTTATCTTCAAGCCTTTACGACCCCAGATGCTCTATCTTTTGATAGCCGGGCACCATCAGCTTTCTTCACCACATTTGCTTATGCACTCATTTTGTCTTCAGTGATCATGTTGGGAAGGTGAGCATCACAGAATGCTGGATTGTTAGAACAAAATGTTCTTGTGTTAATGTCCATCTGCAATCGTCATTCTTTTTTTTATTTTTTATTTTTTTGTTTTTTTATTTTTTTTAACATTTTATTAGGGGCTGATACAACTGTTATCCCAATCCATACACACATCAATTGTGTAAAGCGCATTTGTACATCGTTTCTCAAAACATTTTCTCTCCTTTTAAACCCCCTACATTAGGTCCTCATTTTTCCCCTCCCTCCCCGCTCCCCCCACGTCATTCTTAACATATAGATGAGTACATAGTTCTATTCCCCTCGTTATATCTGTATTTACATAAGTACATGGCTATATTTAGGCCTCTATAAATTTCCTTTGCTTCCTAGACCTTTCCTCTATTTCCTTTTACTCTCCTCTTGTCCCACCATCATGTTCGGCCTTCATTCAGGTTTAGTAATTCCTTGCTGCAACATTGCCCTTGATTAAGCTCTACTAGGCATCCTACAACCTTCCTTCCATTGATTTTAGTTCACTTGTTGTTCCCTTGTCCCTGGGTTAATTCCCCCTACCCCCCTCTTCCTTTCTCCCACATTCCCTTCTCCTGTACCGCCCCCAGAACCATTGGTCCTGTTCTTTTCCTCTCTGAATTATTTATCTCACCTATCTTATGTAGATAGACATGTAGATACATTAATAAGTACAAAAACCTGGTAAAGCCAAATAAAACAACAAGGGAAGTCGAAACCAACAAAACAATAACAACTACAACCCAAAACAAAAACAAAATAACAATAACAAAAAGAAAGCCACTGACAAAAATGGAAATGCCTATAAATAGTTCGAGGTCTGTTTGTTGGCCTTTACGTGTGTTTTCCAATGAAGTCTGATGGGGTGCCCCACTCTTGTCTACAAAGTCTATTTTGGTATTCCTGGGGGTTTCATCACTCAGCTCCCCCTGCTCTCTGCTGCATGCCCTCAGTGCCTCGCCCCAATGTGATGGGGCCAGACCATGCACTATTCCCACCCTGTGTCTCCAGTCCTGTCCCCCACAGCCCTACAGTCCTCCCAGTGCATTGTCTGTTCTGAGCAGTAACACCATCGTTGGGCCTTGGTGGGCCAGGATGTCATCTCCTCCCTCTCCATCCCTTTTTGTTTCTCCTGTGTGCTCTAATCTGATGCGCCCCTCTTCCCAAGCTGTAGCCCCAGTGCTGTCCTCTGAAGTGCATTCTTATGAGGGCGGGGGCAGTGTGTCCATATAGTTGGGATTGGGACTGGCCATGCAGATCTCTATTGGTTCCCTGGTATATGCTGGTATGTTGTATTCATGTCTTGGCATGTCAGGTTGAAGCCTGGTCTCTCTCTCCCTCTCTTGTGGAAATATAAACAATACCCTCCCCTTAGGGTGGGTTAGTGCCCTGTTCCCCTCCTACCCTTGTCTTTCTTTTTTTCTCTCTCTCTTTCTTTCTCCCTCTTATTTAGTTGGTTGCCGTATGTATCCCTGGATTGGGTTTGGCCCCTGCCATAGTTGCTGGACCTCACCCCAGGAATGTGTGTATATAGGAAGTTTTCCCCTA